GTCGGGGGCAGCCCCCCACCAGCCACAGCCCAGCCTCCCAGAGCAGCCCTGAGATCAGGGGCTGTGCCAAGGGGGGCACTGCCATGGCTTGGGGGCCAGGAGCTGGGATTTGGGGACATCCTGGGTGGGCATCAGCCCTGCAGTGCCCAGCTCCTGCCAGGCTCCCAAAGCCCATTTGTTTGTCCATGTGTCTCTATATTATATAATGTGTACAAATCTCCATACTGTGGGTGGGTGGGGGGCAGCAGAAGGTAGATGTAGCTGTGTCCATGCCCTGTCTATACCTTCACCTTTAAGGGATGGATTTTTTTTTTTTTTCTTTGCTGGGTTTGGGGTTTTTTTCTTTTTTTTTTTTTTTTTTAAAGAAACAAAAATAAACTGCTTGACTGGTTTCAAGCACCCTGGTGAACCCATGTGTATGACTGGTGGAATTGTGGGGTGCTGCTCTTGTGTCCAGGGCTGCTTTGGGGTCTGTCTGTCCATCCATCCTGGCAGCTGTGGCAGGAAGGCTCATGGGGAGCCTGACAGCTCCTTGTGTCTTCCTTGGTGCCCAGACTTTATATCCCACCAAATGGGGCAGTGGAGTGTGGAAGTTTTTACTGTGGGCTCAAACCAGCAAAGTTCAGTGATTTTGGGGAAGTGCAGAGAGAGAAGGAGGCATTGCCAGTGCTGAGGGGCTTTGGGGGTTCTGAGTGGCCAGGGATCAGTTCTGGGGGTAAACTGAGGCAGCAGAGTGTCTAAAAAGGCATCTTGGCATAAATTGTCAGCTCCTTCAGCACCCAGAGTGAATGAGGGGTTTGTGTGAACACTCAGCTCTGGCAGGGCAGAGTTGTGGATGAATTTTTGCACTCAACATGAAGAGAAAAAGAAAAGGGAAAAGGGAAGAGGAAAAGGGGAAGAAAACGGGAAAGGAAACAGGCAAAGGGAAAAGAAAAGACAAAAATAAAAGGAAACAGGAAAAGGAAAGAAGAAAGGGGAAAGGGAAGGGGGAAGGGAAAAGGAAGAGGGAAAAGGAAAAGGGGAAGGAAACAGGAAAAAGGAGAAAAGGGAAAAAAAAAGAAAATGAAGATCAGCCCTCCTGCTGTGTCTGCATCACCCCTGGCTGCCTCAGCCCCAGCAGGGCACAGGAGGGGGCCAGGCTGGAGACTGAGTAAGAAATTTGGGGCTCTTTGTGAGGGTCACCAAACCCCTCCATCTCTGTAGCCCTGCAATACACCCTTGTCCCCCAAAACTCCAAGGATTTGCAGGGTTAAATGAGCCAGCAAAGCCTCCCAGCCCACCGAGGGAGTGAGCAGCCCCTGGGCAGTGACTCCCAGGAGCAAAGCAAAGCTCAGGAAAGGTTTGTAAAGCATCTTTTTTTTATTATTTTGGAAGCCTCTGCCCCTCTGGATCAGCATTTCCTCACTTTGCAAATCAAGGCTGTCTCACCCCTCAGCTCAGACTCTTTGAAGCACTCCAGAGCAATCCGTACAAGCCAAAGGTTTATTTGTTTCATAAACAAGTCAAAATTATATTCATGGAAAACAGGTAAATGGACAAAAGGAAAACACACAGCACTGAACACTATAGAGCACTGACATGTAGAGGTGCAGCTCCCTCCCTCGTGCGATGCCCTCCCTCCCCAGGCCCCCCAAAATTTTGCTTGAAAAGTCTAATACAGAGGTCCAAAATCTGATTCAGCTTCAACAAGATACTACAGGTCACAGTATTGAATCATAAAGGTAACGACAAGAGAGGAACTGCCTCAGAAAGGGGGAGAGGTAAAAGAGTTCCCCCATCTCTTTCCTGTCTTCCTTTTTCTCCTTTTTTCCTTAAATTTTCAAACAAAGGTTAAGGAGGAGAGGAGGGGAAAATCCATGGAAATAAACACTTTTTCACTCATATATATACATATATATATATATATATGTATGTATGTACATATATATATATATATATATATATATATATAAAAGCAGGATTCTCAGTGAACACAAAATTCTATAAAACTACCATTGATCTGTGTTGGTTTTCTCCCCCCATCTTTTTTTTTATTTTTCTTTTTAAAAGTTGCTTTAAAAAGGATAAAAAGTGCACAGACACCCTTATAAGGCACAAACAGATCTTCTGTACAAATCATATATCATTGGACTGTTTAAAAAAAATAGCAATACGAATACTAACAATGAAATCTGTAAGAGGCTACCTTTTCCTGGAAATATTTTTTTATTCTTTTTTTTTTTTTTTGAGGCCTATTTTGGAAAATTCCTGTTGCTCTTGGATAGGCAGGGCCACAGGTCCACTGCTCTCCCATCCCACCTGGTTCCTTGCTGGCCTCACTGGGTGCTGCCCCTTCTTGCAAACTGGTTTTGGCTGCTACAGCAAAAATTCAGCCTCTGCAAAGTGTCCTGAACAGCTCCTGGGGTGGATTCGGTGTTTCTCCTTGCTGGCTTAAAAATACAAAACAGAGCTACACCAAAAAATCCCCCCTCCCCAGGCTGCACCTACCCTGCTGATGGAGGCCCTGAGGTGGCACCGAGCAAAGGGGCTCTGCCCCCTGTGAGCAGTCACCAAAAGGCACCCCTGGAGCTGGGACAGCACCCCTGGCATGGCCCAGACCTGCTCCAGGCTGGGCATTCCCACAGCTTTCCTTGAATTCCTCCCAAGGGAAAGGCTTCCTATGGCTGGCAGTGCCCAGCCTCGCTGTGCCCTTGGTGCTGTGCCCACTGCTGGACCTGGATCTGCCAGCATGGGGCTGGGACATCTGCAAAGCCTCTGGTCCCTGGGGTGGAGGACAGCTGGGAGCTCCAGAAAAGCTCCAGAGGCAGGGAATGTGCCCTGGCTCCTCCGTGGGGAAAGGTGGGAGTGAAAGGTGCAGTGGCTCTGTGGGGCTGGGACATCCCTGGGAGTGCAAAGCCTCTGGTCCCTGGGGCGGAGGACAGCTGGGAGCTCCAGAAAAGCTCCAGAGGCAGGGAATGTGCCCTGGCTCCTCCGTGGGGAAAGGTGGGAGTGAAAGGTGCAGTGGCTCTGCTGAGGGCGGTGGCACAGCCAGTGGCACCAAAAAGGTCTCCAAAAAGGGCTCTGCAAAGCTGTTGGGCCCTCGTGCAGGGCCATGGCTGAGAGGTCACAGCACTGATACACTCAATAAAAACGTTCATCGGCTCTCCAAGGAAAAAACAAAAGGTTTCTGGGTGCCCTGTGAGAACAGCCCGCTGCAGGATGAGGATGAGCTGCTCCCTGGGTGTGCCCTCACCAATGGCAGCGTGGCACAGGGCTGGCACAGGGTTGGCACAGGGCTGCCACAGGCCAGTAGCCAAACCCAGCTCTCCTGGCACAGCCAAGCCCTCACCTGGGCAGCAGCACCAAGCACCCAGAGCCTTGGAGGAGAGAGGGAATAACCAGACATCCCTCAGGCTCCCTCTGTGCCCAGAAGCTCTAAAATGTACAGGAGTTATTATTCAATTTCTCCCGTCTTCCAGACTAAAATGTGGTAATTGCACCTTTCTGAAAAAGCTGTTCTTATGCACTTGGTAGCACACGGTCACCGAGCTGCAGGGACACAGCTCCTCTCATCCTCCCATTTCCATCTTTTTTCCCTCTTTATGAGCCTGAAGCAGCTGGAAACTGGCCAGGCTGGGGCTGAAGGACAGGATAGGGGCTGTGCTTTGCACAAAGGATGGAGACTGGAGGGCAGCTCCTGCTGGAGCAGCAGGGAGGAGAATGCTGAGCTCCTCACACCAGCCCCAGTGCTGAACAATCAGGTGCTGCCTGCAGCTGACATTACACCCAAAACCCATTTACCTTTTAATTCCCACCATCTAATTCAGCCTCAGAGCTTTTTCTTTCCTCCTCAGTAAAGCCAAGTGAGATAGTCCCTGTTTTTCTCAACAAGGTCTCGGGTAGAGTTGAGACCCAGCGTGCAGGCAGCTGGGAGCTGTGCTGGGAAATCTGCAAAGGCTGGAGAAAGAACAGGTAAAATCAGCATACACAGTCCCCAGAAATAAAGGTGAGCCTGATGGGACTGGGTCAGAAATTAATTTCTCACCAGAGCCTCCAAAAAATCCCCGTGGTGGGGCGGGAGGAAGGCTGAGCCCTGCCATGGCACCAGCAGGGGAAGGTCTAGCACAGGTGGCAGTCAGGACAGGGTGACATGCAGCTGTGCCACCTGCCAGGAGGGCAGAGCAAAGTGCAGGGGTGTGTGCCTGCAGGTGACAAACCCCACCACTGCAGTGTCCCGAGGCAGGATTGCAGTGTGCCCATCCACACACCCCTGTCACCCACGGGCTGCAGTTTATGGCTTCAGAAGGCAGCAGGGCAGTGCCCGAGCTGCCCCTCACAGCTCCCTGCAGCTCCATCACTGCAGGGGCTCTGCGTGGGCTCATGCTCCTCACTGCTACCCCAGGGCAGCTCCCTGGCTCTCAGCCTCCATGGCCAGAAGTCCTTGTTCTGCCACAGAAAGAAAAATCTGCATTATCTAACCCAGACCAGCTCCTCCATGTCCCCGTGAGCCTGTTCATGGGGACGGAACCCCAGTAAGTGACAACCTGTCTGTGCCACTATTTGGCCTGAGCTGCTTCTCCTTACATGACATTTCCAGATCACTTCTGTCCACTTTGAACCCTCCTGCTGGGCCTCGTCCCAGTTTTGCTCCACCACAGAACAAACCCCTGGCAGCAGCCCAGAGCTGTCGGGTTTTAGGCTCGGGAAGCCCAGTGGCACCTGGCACTGCCCAAGTGGCAACCTCCCCACCCAGACCCGCAGCACGGCGAGCCTCCCCCGCAGCAGGAGGAGGGGAAAAAGGAGCCTTTGCACGGGAAATTTCTCATTTGCAGCTGGCTCGGGTCCCGGCGAGGCCTGCGGGCCCCACACGATCCTCAGCTTTGCTCCCTGAATTGTGCCCTAGCAGTCAAAAAAGGAAACACAGATAACGAGCCACTGGATAACGACTGACCAGCACGATAACCCATAAGCAGGGACGGAAAGGCGTGGTTTGCTAGCGGCGTTCCCCCTTCCTGCAGCCCCTGACGGGCGCTACGGGCGGTAGATTTTAATCACATCTTTGATGACCCGTCGGCAAATGGGGCAGCAGGCGTTGAGCTGCTTCTTCAGCTTAAGACCACAGGTGTTGCAGAGGCACATGTGTCCGCAGGTGTAGATCACCGTGTCCACCTCGCTGTCAAAGCACACGGTGCACTCCCCGTTCTTGCTGCTCGATGGCTCCGGAGGGGAGAAGACAGGAGAGATGGGGGGGCTCAAAGGGGAGCTGGGGGCAGTCACTGCGAAAGAAAAGGGGGGAATGAGGTCCTTTGGTCAACTGGGATGGGGCAAAGCTGACACTGGATAAACACTTAAGGCAGTTTTTAAGGCTGTCTTAGTTGTTGCCTGGTTCTTTGGCCAAATGGATCCCAGTGTATTCCAACCTGCAGCAGTCACAGCTCTGGGCAGAGCCTGTTATCCCTTTTCTACACATGGGGCAGGTGCCACATCCACACATTTTCTGAACACTTGTAGGGATGCTGGTTCCACCACTTCCTGGGCTGCTTGTTTGATACCTGGCCTTCCTTTCCATAAAGAGATTATTCCTTATATTTAAATTAAACCACTCCTGGTGCAACTAGATGCTGCTTCCTCCTTCCTCCCATCGTGTCCCTGCTCCCTGGGAGCACAGCCTGATCCCCCGGCTGTCCCCTCCTGTCAGGGAGCTGTGCAAAGCCACAAGGACCCCCTTGAGCCTCCTTTTCTCCAGGCTGAGCCCCTTTCCCAGCTCCATTCCCTTCCCTGGGCACACTCTAGCCCCTCCATGTCTTTCTCATCTCGAGTGGCCCAGAACTGGACTCAATTCGAGGTGCAGCCCCAGCAGTGCCCAGCACAGGGGACAATCCCTGCCCTGCTCCTGCTGGCCACACCGGGGCTGACACAACCAATGCACAGCCCTTCTCCAGGTGATGAAAACCTTTCCAGCACTGTGTTTTCTTCCCATTCCTTCTGTTGGCCTGGCAGGAGAGGTAACCCCCCAGGGCTGAGGGCTGGCTGTCCTTACCCAACGAGGACTCGGAAGCTGATGAGGACCTGTTGACGCTGAAGGCCATGTCCGAGTCGCTGTCGTATTGGGAGCCACCGGGGGATCCTGAGGGAGACACCGTCCCTGGGCTGGACTGCACCGTGCCTGGGAACACAGGAGAGAGCTGAGCCCACAGAGGGACACCCCAAGCCTGGCCAAACCCCCTCAGCCTGCTGAGCCGCTCCCACTCCACCTGCACAGCGACTTCAGGGCAAGTCCTGAGTTAGTGCTGCCCCTTGGCAACGACACAGGGCAAGATCCTGGGTGTGAGCCCAGGGTCTGGACCTCGTTATGCCTTTGTGTGATGCCTGTTCAGCTTCAGAGAAGCAAGCACCAGGTTATGCAATATTTGCCTTTCCACTTCCCCACGGTCCCACTCTTCCTGGCAGCAGTGGGCTCCAGCTGTGGCTGTCACACTGTCAGCTGGGAAAAGCCATTGCTTTGGGTGAGGAAAACCTGCTTTACAAAGTCATTAACATCTGCTTTTCTGATGGAATCCTTAACAGGAGGAAAGGAGAAAGGCTGGAACTGGCCACCAGCAATGGATTAGAAATGCCAGCTGATCCCTGAGTTGTGGCAGTGCTTCAGGAGCAATTACTGCCCATGCTTAAACCACAGCTGTGCTCACAAAAATCATCGCTCTTACCAAGGCAGAAGTTTCATACCTGTGGGCTGGAACAGGGAGTTTATAAAGAATCCCTTCTAAAAACAAACCTACTGAAAAACAGCTGCCCTCCACAACCATCCCTGTTTATAAAGAATCCCTTCTAAAAACAAACCTACTGAAAAACAGCTGCCCTCCACAACCATCCCTGTTTATAAAGAATCCCTTCTAAAAACAAACCCACTGAAAAAGAAGCTGCCCCCCACAGCCATCCCTGCCTCCCTGCCTGCTGCTTGTTTTATCTCTCATCCTTTCCTGGAGGAACCATAGAGGCTGCACACATCTCTGTGACAGCACCATACTTTGTCACTCTTGTCTGCAAACACGAGGAGCTGCATCCTCACATCAGTGACCACTGTGAGTGCAAACCCAGAGCTCTGCTTTGACCCAGGAACCTTCTCCAGCCAGACGCTCCGTTGGCTGCACTTACCCAGGATTTTGAGCTGGTTGATCACGCCGTGGATGGTAAAAAACACCCAGAGGGACTGTGAGGTGTCCACGCACATGAGCATCCCCCGGCTGGCCCCGTTGACCCCGTGGTGCACCTCTCCGTTGGGCAGGACCATGAAGCTGAGGATGTCGCCGCTGTTGAGCACCGGGAAGGCCCGGTAAACCACCCAGTACTCCTTACGGTCCAGGAGAAAATCCGGATCCGCCGGGAGCTCGTTTGTCCGCAAAGTGCTCGGATCACAAGAGGTGATGCCGAACGAGAGGGCCCCGTAGTACGGCAGCCCCAGGTGTCCTACTTCCACAAAGAGGCTCTCCCCGATGTGCAAAGGCCGGTCAGAAAACACCAAAGTCCTATTGCTCTCCTGCCAGTTGGTGCAGGCCACCATCCTGTCCTGGGAAAAGGTGACGTCGGGGCCGCGGGTGGGGTGGAACCGCAGGTCGGTGTCCAGGAACGCCGGGACTCCTTGGGCGGGCTGCCGCCGGCTGGGGCAGCAGGGGATGATGTGGTTGTCAGTCCCAAGCCCTGGTACCCGGCTTAGGTTTAGGTTTGCAATTTTGGCCACCACTTGGTTGTTCTCGAGCTCGTTGTTGTTGAAGTTGGCCGAGTCGTGGTTGCTCTGGGGAAGGCAGGTGCTGAGCCGGGCGGTGCTGAGCCGGGCAGTGGTCATGGTCTCTGCAAACATGCTGTCTGTGAGAGAAACCCAGGCACAGAGGCTTTAGTCAAGAGAAAACTGCCTGCTTTTATGCTTACAGTTGTTATTGCAGCCTACAGACTCCATAAGGAAAAATCAGCCACGGGTCACCCACTAATGAACAGCTCCTGGTGCAGAGTCACGCGTGGAGCAGGCAGAGAGCGGCTGCATCTGGCACCAGCCAAGGAAAAACAACTGTTCCAAAGTACCTGTGTGATCTGGGAGCTCCCTGCACTGGGAAATGGGGAAAAGCTGTAAACCAGTTTGGTCCTACAGCTTTCTGAGGAGAAGGATCTCATAGCTCTGAGGTTACACTATTTAAAAAAAAAAAAATTCTCAATATTTTGTTGTCCCAAGGTCTTCTGCAAGGCAGGTCCACAAGTGATGAACTCAAGGATGAATGGATATTCTTTCCACACTCCTTGTCATTGCCTTACACCCGTGTCCAGGCACAGGTGTGTCCCAGAGAGGTCATTTCAAGCCTCGTATCTCAGGGGTGTTCACAGCCCTGCAGAGGTTTTGAATGGAGAGCTTGTCACAAAAGCTACTTCCTGCAGGTGTTAGAAAGCTTTTACAGCAGAAGGTTGTTTTCCCTTTTCACAGCAAAGGGAAAGTCAGGATGTTGATCCTTAATTAATTTCCCAGGTTTCCACTTGAGCCATGCCAGGCCTAGGGTGATGTAAAGGTGTGGGAAAGTTTGGGAGTGTTCTCCCTTCTACCTCCAGCCCTGCCTGGGACAGCCTGGACACTTCACTCTGAAAGGTTTAACACACTGAGCAAAGTCAGAGCACGTGGAATTCAAGAGTCTGTGTGAATGACTCCTGATCTTCCCAGAGACGGAGAGGGGTGAAGCAGCCCAGCACCAACACTGCCTGCTCCCTGGAGGAGAGAACGCCCAGGCTCTTGGCAAAGAAGGAAAAACACCCAAATCCACCCAGCAGCTGCAAAGCAGAACCTGCCTCACTCAGAAGCCCAGGAAGGACAGGCCCAATGGGGTGGGCTGATGGCTGGAGCAGCTCCTTCTCAGCCAGCACAGCTTGTGTGGCAAGAAATGCTCCCACAGAGGAGTCAGACACATCCTAGCTTCGTGATGGATGTCCCATCCCTGGAAGTGTCCAAGGCCAGGTTGGACAGGGCTTGGAACAGCCTGGGATAGTGGAAGGTGTCCCTGCCCATGGTAGGGGGTTGGAATGAGATGATCTCTAAGATCCCTTCCAGCCCAAACCATTCTGTGATTCATGATCCTGAAAGATGCATTTTGTGCCTCAGCACCAGAGCTGTATTTCACCATTTTCTCAACTAAAAACGTTTTGGAGGGATGAGACAGAGACGAGCACATCCTCAAGCAAGGAATTCGGGTCCCCTGGTGCCCCATGTGGCTGAGCATGGCCCTGGTTCCTAGGGCAGTGTGAGGGGTTTGGTATTTTAATTAAAAAACCTCCCAGCAGAGTACAGGTGCTCTCAGCCTGAGTCTTTCACTGGGAACTCTTGGATGCTGCAGGCAGGACTGGAGGTGAGGAGCAGAAAGAAGCTGCATTTTATTTTTCAAACTCCAATTTAATGAGGAGAAAGGAGAGCTCTGGTGAAGTAGCTGCCTTAGCCAATAGAGCAAACACTCCTTCTCCTCTGTGACGAGCACCAGAGGCTGGAGTGTGTCACAACTGCAATTACAGAACAAGCTGCTGGTGAGGTTTAATTACACATTTGAGGCACAGCAGACAGGGAAAAGCGTTGTTTATGTGTGGCCTTCTCGCCTGTAAAATAATTGGCACTGTTCAGAAGGATGTGTGATGGAGCTGCCTGCCCTCTGGACTCACCATTCCACAGCTTATCCCTGGTGCCTGCTCCATGCCAGGCTGGCAGCACCATCCCCTGGGGCAGGTGCAGCTGGCTTTGGCGTTAAAACTCCATCAGCTCCGAGGAGCCTCCGGGAAAGGGCAACTCTCTTGGATTTTAAAAGTGTTCCCTGTGGTGCAGCCCAGTTCAAACACTCCATCTAACGCTGAATTAATTAGAAACTTCAATGCTGTAAAAGCCACTAAAGAATAATCATTCCATGGCCATCAGCTGGGCTTATTAATGGGAGCAGATTCATCCCCTCCTGCAGCCCTCCCTAAGGAAGAGGCTGTAAACCAGCCAGACTCCACCCGATTCCAGGGGTCTGAGTGATGTCCCTGTGCCAGGGAAGGGTCACAGTGCCAACACAGCCCCTCAAACTGCCAGCCTGGGTGGGACCACGGCCAAGAGCTGAGAGAGGGGCTGGGGAAGGGCTCCAGGAAACTCTTGGGCAATTACTGGTAGTTTTCCCATGGACTGGCAGTAACTGGTATCTGGGAAAAAATAGACAAAGTCACAACTGGTCCTTTTTGTCTCCTCAGACCCTGGGACCTTGCTCCATATTTTTCCATGCCAAAGCTCAGAGAAAGCTGAGTGGAATTACAGATAAAGATTTCCATTTACCCCCACCCATAATGTGCAGCCTCAGGACTTTCCATCACTGCCATCTCTGGAATATATTGCTTTCTGCATCCCTACTGCTGGCAGAAGAAAAATGATTAATTGGAGGTACAAAACCAACAGCAAATTAATTTTCTTAAGTGTCCCATAGAAATGCTCACACAGATCATGCATTTTCCCTACAGCATCACAAAGAGCAAGCAGAAGAGCAGCCCACAGGCCACAAAGACACACTCACCTAGAATTTGCACTTCGTGGGTAATTCCGTAGACATCTATGAGCGCCCAAAGAGGCCCGGAAACTTTAATACCACAGTGAAACAAGATTGGCTCCTCATCATTAATACTGTAGAAGACTCTGCCGTGCCGGTCCACCCAGAAGGCCAGGATATTGTCCCTGACCGCAAACCTCTCCGGCAGAGCCTTGGCCCAGTAGCCGGGGCGGGTGACGAGGTCGGGGCAGGCGTACTTTGGTATCTCCTCGGAGCTCATCTGCGAGGGGTCGTGGATGGTGAAGCCGAAGCGCAGGGCGCCGCTCCAGCCGTGGTGCACGGCCACCAGCTTGAGGCGCACCTTCTCGTAGAGGTGGATGGGCCGGTTGGTGAAGGTGACGCCGTTGCAGAAGCTGTTCCTGCGCGTGGCCTTGCGCGAGTGCGCGTCCAGCCGCACGTTCTTGCCCTTGGCCTGCGAGTGGAAGCGCGGCGGCTCCGCGATGGCCAGCACCGAGCGTCGCTCATGGCTGCTGTTGGGCAAGCTGTAGTAGGGCCGGCTGGACACCGAGCGCGCCTGGTGGCTCGTGTCTGCAGAAGGACAAAGCACATCTGTCAGCGGGGCTTGGCACCAGCCAGGGGGTTGGGCTCAGCTGGGTGTGATTTGCACCGCTCTGCCAAGACCTGAAATGTCACAGAATCTCACAGAATGACAGAATCACACACAGAATCATACATAGAGTCACACAGAATCTCACAGAATGACAGAATCACACACAGTCACACACAATGACACACAATCACAGAATCACACAGAATCACATAGAATCACAGAATCACACAGAATCACACAGAACTCACAGAATCACCAAGTTGGATGAGACCTTCAAGACCATGGAGTCCAGCCCAGCCCCAACAGCTCAACTAAACCCTGGCAGCCAGAGCCACATCCAGGCTTTGTTAAACACACCCAGGGATGGTGACTGCACCACCTCCCCGGGCAGCCATTCCAGAACTTTATCACCCTTTCTGGAAAACACTGTTTTCTAATATCCAACCTGGTGCAGCTTGAGGCTGTGTGCTCTGGTTGTGTCAGTGCTGCCTGGAGAAAGAGCCCAGCCCCAGCTGAGCACAGCCACCTTTCAGGGAGCTGTAGAGAGTGATAAGGTCACCCGAGTCTCCTTTTCTCCAGGCTGAACACCCCCAGCTCCCTCCACCATTCCTCATAGGGCTTGCATTCCAAGCCCCTCAATATTTCACCTTAACACAGCATGCTTAGCCACAACCAGCTCTTTGTTGTCCCAGTTTGGCCTCAGCTTTCTCCAAAAACGTGTCAAGCAAGGTTAGGCAGCTTCCCTGCAAAGCTGGAGAGGAAGGAACGTCCTTTGTTCCCATCAGATGCTTCCTACTGCCCTCGGAAAAGCTCAACATCTGCAGCTCCGAGTTTCCTCCTTGCAGTGCACGTGCTGCTAACTCACATGGTGGCCAGAGACAGGAGCCCTGAGGATTGTGGCTGTTAAAAATCACAGATGCTCAAGGTGAGCACGGGTTTCAGAAGATTTTTGTGGGACATGCAGCTACCAGCTCCTCTGTACCCTGATTTTGTAATGATGAACAGGAACGTTTGACCAACACAAATACTACAAGACATTCAGCAGCTGGAGCACCTCTGCAGCAGCAGATTGTTCCTCCTAAACCTTCAACCCAGCCCCTGGCTCAGATATCAGATGCAACTGGCACATTAAGGAACATTTCATCCTTGCCTTTACCCAGAACCTCCCATTTGAGCTCAAAGCACTTTATAAATGATGATTGTTTTCAGCTTCACAGCACTGCAGATGGCACAGAAATCCTGCCATCCTCGTTTTACAGATGGGAGAAGGAGAATTGATGGGTGAGATCTTGCAGCATTTAAAGTCAAGAGCAATTCTGAGACTGATTTCAAGAAAAGCAGATTTGGGACCTAAAGCAAGCTTCACACAGGCATGAAGCAGAAATGAAAAAAAGCTCAACTTTGAATCTTAAACCTTAGCTAGAAGCTCCCTGAGGTGGAGATGATATCTTTTGCATATCCCTGAGCACATGGGGACTTGCTCCAGGTCCTGGGCTTCCACCACCATCACGGTGTTCCAGGGAATTTGGTCTCCCCATTCCCCACCCACTCCGCCTCTCCTCCTGTCTCTGCACCTGCCTTTGTAGATGTTTAAAGCAAAAATGGAACACATTCTGAATGCCCAAAGCCCTCCTGTTAAATATAAAACCCCATCACATGCTCACAATTATTCTGAGCACTTTTGCCATGCTTGAAGCTTTAGCAGCCACCTGCCAGGCCCTTCCTTCAAGCTGTTTCCTCCCTGTGTGTAACCCCAGGTTTTGCTTCATGACAAGGGAAGGATTTTCTGTCATTTCTCTCTGTTGGAAAAAAACCCACCAGAAGATCCTGGGAGCTCAGCTGCGTGAGCTGGCAGGAGGGCTGCAGTGGTGGCAGCTTTTTTTTGGAAGCAAAACCAGAGCAGACAGGGCAGCGAGAGGTTGGGACCTGCACTGAGGCACTGAGCAAGGAGAAGAGAGGTTGCAGCAAGATCTGAGCACAGGATTAGCCCTTCAAATCAGGCATCTGGAAAGGGAGTCAAAAGCCTGTGAAGGCAAAAAGCTCCTGTTTGCAGCAAGATAAAAATAACAGTCAAAAGGTGGTTTGTCTCTTGGTTTGTCCTGCATGTGACAGTCGCTGTGCAATGGTTAATCCTGTCAAACATCAGTGGAAATTAATACATCCTTGCTCTCAGCCAGTGAGGGGAGGGTGCCAGTCCCATGTTAGGGCTGTGGACAAGAGCCCTGGAGCAGATGAGGAAGGGAAAATCCTTCCCAGATGCTCAATCCTCCTGCCCAGCACAGCACCTCTGCTCTCAGCAGCACTGCAGGCCAGGCCCCAGCACAGGAGGGCTCCCCAGGAAGGGACATTTCTTTGTGTATTTCCAGGAGAAATCTCATTCCTTGCCTGCTGAAGAGCTGAAATGCAGAAATGGCTGCTCCCAGCACAGCCCACCCGTGCTCATGTGGGTGCTACTCCGCGTGTGCCTGTCAGCACTCCTGACAAAGGGAGCTGCTGCAAAGGGAGCGGGGTCTGGGGGCTCCAGGCAGGGACCCAGCCAGCACAGGGCAGGGTGAAGCCTCTCCTGGCCTTGCCTCCCCACACAGCATCCCTTTTTCCATGTGCATTCACACAGCCTTTGTGCCCTTGAGGTGGGACCTGGGTCCAGCAGAGCTGGGATGGATCCCAAGGGGCTCCTGAAGGACTCAGTGCCACCTCACACCCTGCCTGGCTGGGCAACAGCCTCCCCAGGCAGAGAAAGCTTCATTTCATAACCAGCTGATCTGCTTTTTGTTTGTAAAATGGTTAAAAACAACCCCCCTGTTGTTGCAAGCGCCATGGCCTCAATGCCCACATTGGCCAGGAGGGGGAAGGAAGGGAAACAGATTTTGTTCTCCTCTCTGCTATCCCCAAAATCCCCTCGTTCCCAAAGCCAGTGCAGCACCAGCCTTCCTCCCACAGCCCCCTGATGGAGAAAAGGCTCCTGCCAGGGATATGATGCCTGTGGCACTCCCAGAAGGCACAGAAGAATTAGGTGGCAGTGTCAGTGCCACCAGCACGAGTGACAGGACAGCGAGGACACTGGCACCCACTTCAAACACAGCTTTGGGTCCACCCTTCCAGAGGGGGACTCGGGGTCGGGGTCTGGCATTTTTTGTGTTGTTTTATTTTGTTTTGTTTTGTTTAAAAAAACAGGCACGCATATTGTGGCTAAACAATAGGAAACGCTCAGACGGAAATGAACGGATAATTTATTTATAACGCTGTTCCCCCCTTCACATGAACACCTGCCTGTGGAATAAAGCCTGCCACAGCCCGAGGCAGAGAGGCAGAGTTTTCCCACTGAAACACGCCTGGGGTTGAGCTGGGCCATGTGCTTTACTCATTAGGTGCTGACGGGGACTCCAAGCTCAACAGGATGTTTGTGCCTTTCAATTGTGCCTTTGAATTGCCCTAATTTGCAGCTCGGCTTCCACACTTTGGCTCCTCGAGTTTATTCCCTCTGCTGTTGCTCCAGAGCCTCTCCTCTCCCGGCTGTGCATTCCCACCCAAAAAGTGGGATGACGACAGCCAAGCTCGTGGCACAAGTGCCACCCTACCCAGGGTGCCTGACAGGCAGTGAAGAACTACGCCAACTCTTTTTTCTTTTCAGCTGTGAGATTCCTACAACTCTTGGGAGCAAGTCATTTCTTCTCTTTCTGCCTCACTTCCCTGTCTAAGAGACGGTAACACCATTCCTCCACCTCATGGGCAGCTGGAAGGATGGAAAAACACTTCAACCCCTGAGCTCTGCAAGCCTGGCTGCATCACCACAGGGGACACAAACCCACTGAGGGATGCCTTTAGCTTCCATCCTTCTTTTTATTCCAGTTTTCCATTTTTCATCCCCATTCTCACCAGTTTCAAACATGACACTCACAGCACGTCCCTCAAACGCACCAGCAAATATAAAAGGCAGGAAAATGGAAGGAAAAGCTGAAGTGGAGGGTGAGGAATGGTCTGAGGCTCCTCACTGAAACCTCAAGGATAAACCCTTTTGGCAAGGCAGCATTTCCATCCTTGTGGTGTCAGATGACACTGAGGCAGATTTGGGTTCTGGGGGCCCGTGCTCTCATCTGAAGCTTCACCTGCTTTCCAAAAGGCCAGCACGCTCATTCTGGAGGTTATGCTGACCTTTGGAGAGGTATTTTAACAGACATGCACTTTGCATTTCAAAAAGGTACAGCAGGCAGACCCTGGACAAATTCCACATATTCATCATGGTTCCAGTTCTAAAAATAAACATTTTTTTTCACCCATTTGTTTGCAGTGGCACTGTAATCCCACTGACAGCAGCAGACAAAATTCAGCTCCAGAGCCCCGTCTGAGGCTGTTGCTCTCCCTGGGGCGTGGGATGGAGGAGGCTGCTCAGCTGGGGATGACCTCGAGCCAGATCCATCCTGTCTCACTTGCCCTGACAAGCCAGGCAGGAATAATACCCCTAAAACGGGGGAGAAGGGAATAATGTTGAAGGAGAGCTGAGCTACAGCGAGAGCAGCCTGACAGGAGGAGAGGAGGAGGAGAGCGCTGCGTCCTCATGCGTCACCGGTAAATCCATGGTCTGCACCAGAGACATTCCTGGCTCCTACAGCTTGCTGCTGAGGGCCTCTCCCAAGTAAATCCACTACAAAAGACCCACAGGATCCCAAGGAGCAGCTTGGTACCAAACAGGGCTGTGCAGTGAACACAGAGAGGGAAAATTACTGGGACCATCCACAGCTGGCAGTAGGCATGGCTCATGCTGCAGGAGCATGGTCTGCCCTTGGTCAGAGAAAGGCTGAAAGGGTCAGAGAAAGGCTTAAAAGATTCAGAGAAAGGCTGAAAGGTTCAGAGGAGAGGCTGAAAACCTCCTGAGAGGCAGCAGCAGGCAGCCTGAAATCCACATCATGAGCCTTGTGCCCGGTGAAAGGGAATTCACCAAACACACCCACAGCTTATCTTTATGGGCTCTGCTTTATCT